AAGAGAAGGGCTCCACTGGCTTATACGTTAGGGAGATCTAACCCAGGATTTCTGGCGGCTGCAACGAGAACTTTAGCTCCGGGTCCTTCGAGCTGCCCTGCGCTAACAAACTTGATACGCACATACATGCACAGTGCACTTGTATACGCATGCAAAACAGGCACACATGCAGGGACGGACGTACTCACAACATCGGCTGGGAATTTCTACTTTTTTAATGAGAATACACCATCCTGTCGCCTGTTTGCTTGCGCGCTCACTTTTTTTCTTCATATGTATAAAGTGCGATTGTGAACGGTTTTTGTTTATTTCTTTGTCCTACTGCCCCGAGTGTCAGCGAATTTACGACAATCGTTTAAGTCGAGGCAATTTTCAAGTGTCGAAGTGTCGGTTCCCCCTGGAACCTTCCCAGGGAATTTCTCTTGAGTAGCCCCTTACGCTGTCCTTTGCCCCCCTTGTATCCGATGCATTACGTAGCCTGTTGTGAACCGCAGCGGAGCGCCCGTAACTGAAACAACAACGAGCAGAACCTCGAGCGAAATCTTCTACCGACGTGCCATTCTTTAATTAATTGGGGGATCGTGGGTATAGCGTGACTGCCCGCCCTATACACCGACGCCAACTTCCAACTGCTCCCGGAGTTTCAGAGGCGCCGCCAGGTTTTTCTCACGCCCGCTACACCAGATGTCGCTGCCTCACGCCACCGTGCTCCCGGGACTTGCAACTGCAAGTGTGATAGACTGAACTTTGAACAAACTTAAAAAAAAAAAAAAAAAAAAAATTGGGCGCTCAATTTTTAGGTTTTTGTTTGTTTGGGTGGTAGCCAGGCTTCGCCTTATGTTGGGATGTGGCGAACATTCGTTGAACCTGAGGTACGCGGCTGGTCCAGCAAACTTTCGACCTTCTAGCGAAATTTGAAGAATTGGATTCTTTAAACAAGATTGGCCCGACTTTTGAAAGAAATAAAAAAAAACTTCAGAATATAGGTAAGATTACGTATAAAATGGGGCCCGTTTCAAAATTTTAGGAAACAAAACTCAAGTTTACGCAATAGAAAAACAAGCGTATGAGATTTTATTCGTTTAATGACGTTCGTAAAAATGCTGCGTCCTTTCTCCACCAGGCGGTGCCAGCTCGTTTTTAAATTGTCGAGTTTTCGTCGACTTTCAGTTGAAAGTTAGAAATAAGACGAACCTTGGCGGGTTTGCAACATCCATAGTTTTGTGCACTTTTCTTCGCCTTTTTTTTTGTATTTTTGTAAAAACAAATTTATATTTTTTAAGTTATGACTTTGGAAGGAAAATAAAGTTAATATATATGTTTGATAACTTTTCTTTTGTCCTTTTTTGTTTTTAGCTATAAAATTGTAGCAGTTGATGAGTGTATATTGTCAAGTAGCCTTTACACTGTCGTAACTGTCACGACGAAGCACTCTCGTCGTGATCGTTTTTTTTTTTTTATTTTACAAGCGATGCACAATATGCACACAAAATAGTAAAAGTTACAATTTAATATTTTAATAAAAAAAAATAGAACTACGACATTTGTAAGTAAAATGTGTTTGAGAGATTTTAGCAATATATTCGTCGCCTCCACACTTTCCTAAAATAATTGCAAAATATATATCAAATTGTGTATCGTTTACTCAAGTTTACTCATATTTAGAAGTTCATATCACTAGATTTTATTGTAATTCCTAATTCATTTTAAAATGCAGCCGATCTTTCAAAATAAGGTACAATGAGAAAGAAAACAAATCTAGATATTTATTTTTTTAGTTTCCACTTTGCAATGCTTTGTACAGCTTTGGGGCGGCTAACGATTGAGCCACATATTTAACCTGCCTGCAAGGAAAAAACGACGGCAAACTCAAAATCAAAGTGACGAAAACCACTTTTCTTTTACAACGTTTTGCGTGCCTACCTTTGCCGAATGGGAATTGCTATTATACAACGAAAAGAGAATAGACACATACAAAAACAATCACCCCAGCGTGAACCCAATGTTAAAACACTCGAATTTATATATGGCGGTCAGGGAGGAAGAAAAAAACAATAATGTCACTTACGAAAAAAAAAAACAAAAAAAACGTTGTTAAGTGCTGCGCGTTAGTCTTTTTTATTGCCAAGGGTAATGCAGACATTTGAAACGATGCAGCTTTCCGCCATCGATAAATGGTTTGCTGAATAATAAGCGAGCTTTAGTAGATAGTAGATCTATTTTGGATTTTGAGGCCAATACTGGATACTGCGAAAGCGCCACTGCTCACGCTAGCTTCGTTATCGTGTGGTCAGGATATCCTTCACGAAAGTGTCCTTTCGCGTTATCGGCAAATCAGAAGGTTATGCATTGCCTTGACTTGGCTAACTAGTATTCGGCTAGCTTGCATTTCTGCAATCATTGCTCTGTCTAAACATCTGTTTCCAGCTGTTTTCTTTTTTTTTTACGTTATAAGTCAAAGCATGTGTTAAGCTTTACATTTTATAATATTGGAAGCTGTAAGTTCAATTCCGTCCGTTGTTTATTATTAATAATCAACCCGTCAAACGTCCGCAACTTCGTGAAGCTTTAAAAACTTATTCAAACTTGCCTGAAGAGTAAAGTTCAATCCCACTTTTTTTTTAAGCAAAGCTAAAAAAAAGGAACGAATCGAATAACGTGTCGTGCCATCTATCGTCGGCGGTGCCGAGGTCGCCAGCGAGGAAATGGTGATTGAGTACCTAGGTGTCTTTCGGCAGCGATGGGTGGCGCTTGCGTCGTCGTCGTCGTCGTCGTCGCTGCTGTTTGACAGACGGCACGAAATTTTCTCCAAGAAAACGAAGCTGTTTTTGTTTTTTTTTCTATCAATTTATTGTTTGTTTGCATTTTTAATTTTTGTTTCTTATTTTATTTTTTAATGATGTGTTTGGGAAGGAGTGCTGCATAAACGTCGGCCTGACAGATTGCTTTTTCTCTTATCGGGCGCTTTTTTTGTCTCTAACAGCTTAACGCGAGGCGGGTCTTATTGTGTTATCGTGCCGTGATTGGTCCATCGGCTAATACCGCAATCTCACTGGCTAAGGAGCAAAAATGAGATGCTCGTTGGACTGGACATGCCCCGTGTTTCTTATATTGTCAGTGACTCTAATCGATTTGACGAGTAAAAATTTGATCTCCAGACTGCGTTCCATTTTGATTAATAAGAACTGATTATTAATGCACTTACCTTGTTAAAATATGCGTGAAAAAAAGAAGAATCAACATCTGCAGTTCCTTACACGAAGTTGCCGTTTTTCCTTATAAGCGAGGCGGTTCATTAAAATGTATTAAATCCATAGTTAAGATGGTTAGAAGTGAACATCGAAAACACCTTAGGGTGTGTTTTTCTTTTCTTTTTTCATCATGTTTAAAAGTGTAGGTACAGGCTATGGTTCTTATTTTCCCTGCCTTTTATCCTCCTTTGCACTTGACATCGCAGCTGCAGTACCACTAACGGTTCCCAGGCGGGATAATAAAGAAGAAAAAAAAAAGTTCAATGAAGCAAGAGGGGCATACCCTACCTGTTCTCTCACTCCTCGGTCAGCTCCTCTCTGTCCCCCTTTGTTTTGTTTGGGTTTGTTTTTTGTGTTTTATATTTTAGCCCAACGAAGCCAGCGACCCACTTCGCTGACTGGCCGAGCCGCTTCCGCATTTTGAATTCGCGCGCACACACACACACAACAGTTTTGCGCTCGCCAGACAAAAGGACAGTGTGAGAAGAGCAGCATCATCGGTACTTCAAACGCCAACTTGGCTTGTCCGAAAGTAGCCTTTAAAAACACACACACACACAGAAAAAGAAATGGAACAAAGAATTGTAGCCCTCGGAAATAAAAGCCGTCTGTTTATTATAATAGGTGGCGCTCATAACTGTCTTCTTCGCCCGTTGCTGCTGTTGTTGTTGCTGCTGTTGTTCTTGTTGACGATGATAATGATGGTGCTTTTGTTCCGTTTGAAGTCCTTTCTCTCTGTGCCACTGCCGTCTATGATGCTTCGCTTAATTGGGCTAACTATTATTTTATTTTGCTTTTAACGAGCAGCCTAGCTGGCTTGGTCACGTGGCCTATATATATATTTTTCCGTGTTTCCGTCCACTTTGTTTTGTCACAGACAAGTTCGGCATATGAAGCCATCATTACCGGTGTATATCAATAAGCTGTGAGTAAAAAAGAAAAAAGAAAGCACTTCCAGTTTAGTGGTACTTGCTCATGCAGTATGCACGGTTTGTTTTGATTTTCGGAACGCTCTTGGTTTTGATGTAGCGTTTTCTGACGTGTCCAAGTTTCTTCTATTGGTTGCCACTTTGGTGTCTTCTATTGGTTTCTGACGTGTCCAAGTTTCTTTCTATTGGTTGCTTTTTTGTTCCTCGAGCTGCGGCGTGAAATTCGAGCTCGCTTTTTCGACAACAAGCGCGCCATTTAACCATAAAACAAGCTACTCCCGAAGCCTTCTGTTTGAGCGTTCATCGTTGACCCTCTCCGTTTGTTATTATTCCAGACTTTCGATTTCAAATGCCCCTGCGCGATAAAATTCTTGGCAGGCGACCAGAGAAAACACGCGAACGCTTTCCGCTTCCAGCGCTTTTTTGTGCGTGTTATTTCGTTCGCTCCCTTTCAAACCTCGGCGCACTGCCGCGCCACGGCGCTACTTTCAATCGCGGAATCATACAGTATCCTTCCGCGCACAGTGCTTCTCTTTCTCTCCGCTCTCCCTCTCTCTCTCTTCGCTCCATCTCATCGCTCCTTCATTTTTCTACCGTTGTTTACTTTCACTTCTTTCTTTTATCTGGCTTCGAAGGCGCCGCGTGTTCTGTGTTCTGTTCTGTCTCTTTCTCCTTTCACGCTCACCTGCGTGACGTCACTCCTGACCCGTCCGGTCTGCGCCGCCGCTATTGGCCCTTGGTTTGGTGACGTCAGTCGGCGCGCAGGCGCAGCGGCCGTTCCCCCCTCCGCCCGCTCGTCGCCGGCATCGGTGCGCGCGCCTTGGCAGACGACGTCGCACGGCTGCGCGGTTACATGGGGCTGCAGCCGATGCCCGTGTTTTAGGGTAAAGCAAAGAGTAAGGTTTTATTAGTAACACACGCCAGAAAGGCGCGTTTATTCCGCTCTAGAAAAATCGACGACGACAAGCTTATCACCGTGCTTGCTGTGTCTACTGTGAAAGTGCCTTCGCGACCGAGTGGATTGAAGTGCTGTGCGGATCGCGGTGTGGATTTCGGCTAACGGATTGCTGCGAAGTCGGCTTCTTCGCCACGCACAGATCGCCCTCCGTCGTCTGCTACTGGCGGTCGTTGTTGTGGTTTCGGTTTTGGTCCTGTCATCTGCTCCGGCAAAACAGCCATTCGTCGGCGCTTGTGGGGTTTTTAATTTTCGCCACCAAGGGAAGCGATCGAAGTTGAGATTCGGGAATTGTGAGTCAGGCCTTCCGACTGCCAACCCAAATTTGCCTCCGTCTGCGTGAGTTTCCTTCTCGGTGGAGAGAAAGGAGTCTTCATCATCCGTCGTCTTCGTCGTCCATGGGAGCGGAGCAGCCCTAGGAATTGTCGTCTGCTTTTCGAGAACGGTAAGGATGTCTTCATGAAGTGCCGCCTCCACTGTCTCTCCCTCGCAACGTCAGACCCTTTTTCGGCAATTCTAACGGCCCAAATCATGCTAGAAGCGCGTTCCTTTATTTGCACCGCCAGGTTTTTGGACATGTAAGTGCCATTACGCTTGTTATTTTAATGCCTACCGTGTCCAGTTGCCCCTGATTCCATCCGTCTGTTTGTGAATGTTATCGCCTCCATTCCCATCATTTTATTGCCCCTCTAACCCCCCTCCCCTCTCTCCCCAGTTTCTTTTTCCTCGAATCTGTTAGTCCGCTGCTGATAATAGCCACGTTTTTTTTTTCTTTCTTGTTTCTTTTTTTTTTCTGTAGATTTTTATGCAGACGGGAGCAACTAACCTTGTTTTGTTTACACTAGTTTTGCACTAGCAGTTGTTGATGGATTGCGTAATTTTCGCATGTGGAGATGCACAGCGGTTTGTTTCTCTAAAAATCTGTTTCGTGCGTTTTTTTTTTTTTTTTTTTTGTCTTTTTTGTTTGTATTTTTCGGTGAATGCAGTTTGTTTGTCCTGTTCAATGGCTTCTGTCACGAGGTGCTCTAACGAAGGCGTTTAGTTCCCAAGTATAGAATCGGCGTTTTTCGGTGTTTATTCTACATGAGCGCTACTCCCTCCCGCATATTCGGTCTGTAAAATAGGAAGAAAAAAAAACCGTTACAAATAAGTTTGCAGCGGTGCACGAGATCGAGCGAAAGTGCAGTGGTATAAAAATATATATAAACATATATATTTGTTGCTTGAGCCTTTCTTACAGTATGTCCTCGAATCACCCTCAATAGACATATTGCTAAACTAACCAAACAGCAAGGAGGTTGCTGGGAAGGTGGGTACTCGCCCCGCGAGCGCTCGCCTTCCCCGTATAAAAGATTCGAAGGAAACAACCAAAATAAGGCGTTTACGAACGCGCGCGCAAGATGTCATTTCTTTCAGACTTTTAGTTCAGAACACCTATACTGCTGCAGACACCGACGCGTGTAACTATGCTCGCAGCATGCTCCTTGGTGCATGCTTGGGTAATTTAGCGAGAGGTCTATTCGCTCATAGTCACTGAAATACCTCCGCTCAAGTTGTGACTTACAAACTATCTTCCCCATCCAGTACTGACAACTGCAGGAAAGACAATAACTCTTCCGCGACACCTGCCATCTCCGATTCGCCCGTCAAAACGTAAACGTCAAATGAAAGTTGCGTTTCTTGCCTTACTCTTCGAAGCCTCCGGGTAGCAGACAACGTTTCACAGAGCAAGATTCAGCTTCTTTTGGGGGCAAACTTTTTTAGTCAAGCGTTTAAAGGGCCCGTGCAACGATATTCGCTCGGAATGTTTTCCACTTTACACGAGCTTACTGGCACTATAGTAGAATCCAAGTATACTCGCACACAACGCCACTGGCCAAGAAACTCCTTCGTTGCAGTGTTATTTCAAGGACAAAATAGAGCGTTTTCTTTCAATCTCTGCTGCGCAAAACTTGAGGACGTGACAACGCCCCTTTCCCTCCCCCTTCCAGTGACCATATTTGAATACGGCTCATAGACTAGACCCGACCATTCCGTGAGCACTCGATTTGGGCTCGTGTTAATCGATAGCTCGAGAAGCGTTCAGGCAGTGGCCCCGTGTCCAAACGGTCTGGAACTCAGCGCGTGTCCCGTGCTTTGCCAGCCCCCGGTGCATGGCTAGGATCCACAGTAGTGGCATATAATTGGCTCCAGATCACGTGACCGCTTGTTCCGGCTGTCTGAACGCTGCTCGTTTTTCTTCATTCTTTTTTTTTTCTTCCTGCGACTTCTATTGCGTGGACTGAAAAACAAACGCGTGTTTCATAGGTCACGAACGTCACCAATTCGTTCCGAGCGGCATTTGCGCGGTGTACAAAAATTGTTGCAACGCCCCCTTTAATTATGTACCGACGACCAGTTCGCACTTTCCAATTTTCCTTCTCTCCCCCCTTCTGCCCTGTCCACCGTTGCCTGCTTCCCCCTCCCCCATGGTGAGGAGCATCTTCTGCCTTGCAGAATATCGAGTCTGGTCGTCGGCCTTTTAAGTACCGTTATTGGACACTGACAGAATCGGACAACGGCAAAGGAAGTTCTTCAGCACCTCCAGCGCGAGCTTCCTCCTACCTTCGGAAACGCTCGGACGTCACGTGACCCTCGAGCCTGCGCACGCAGTGAAAGCACGACGGAAGGCAGCGAGCGCGTGCCAGAGGACGTGCGTCCGAAAGAAGCGCCCCGCCGTTTTCGCGTTTCCACGTTCCCCCTCCCAAGTCCTCGAGTACTTTCGCGTCCTGCTATGCCTAGAAGCTATTGAAACTATACTCGTCGTTTGACCAAGAGAAAAAAAAAAAAAAGTTTTGTACATTGTTTATGCGCTGCGGGAAGTAGTCCTTACAAGAGCTGGCTGTCGTGGGAAGAAATGATGCTTGTAACTTTCAAAACGTGTGCGGTTTTTTTTTCCTGTTTTTTTTTTTTAATGAAATAACAAGTATTTTATCTTAAATGTTCGTAAAAGTTATCCTAAATCGCCACATTAAGGTTGAAGTTCGTAACGCTCCGCGAAGAGCCGCTCTACTTTTTACTGCGGCTCTCGAGGTGAAGGCGAGTAATAGGGCCACTGTACATTATCTATATGTACGCTTAGAGCATCGGCACTTTATTCCCCGATCGTCTGGTGGACGCCGCCATTTTGGGGGTTTTGAAAATGGGGCTTCCCAAGATTTCATCGGCACTTCATTCCCCGATCGTCTTGTGGACGCCGCCATTTTTGGGGTTTTGAAAATGGGGCTTCCCAAGGTTTCAATAGTACGACTGTGGTCTGGGAGCTCGGGTGATATCGTTATATGTTCTTCTCGACCGCGAACCGTTTGAATGTTTCCGGGGAACGAAAGAGCGTTTCTACGATTTTTTACATCAGACCTAAGATAACTGACTGTAACGGCTTTTAGGCACCGAGGAAAACTAACTCTTTTCTCTCTCTCTGTCCCTCTCTGTGTGTCTGTCTGGGGAGAGGGAAACGTTCCACGCTAGGTGGCGCAAGCTACCGCCCGTTATGGAAGGTACAGCCGTTAGCATCCATTCATCCATGACTGAAGTGTCGTTGCCCAGAAACGTGGCTTGTTTACCACGTAGCTCTATAGCTCCAACAATGGTGACACGTTTCGATGCAGTCGTGCGTCTCGGGCTCTTTGAGAACCAAAGCTAAACCTCGTATAGAAGCGTCTCTGATGAAGTCGCACACGTAATACCAGCTGTTTTGGTCTGAACTTAAATAGAGGGAAAGCAACCTAACGGGCAGCGAGCTGTTCCGCTCGAATCGCCGGCGAATCCGACGAACAACAATGCGTCGCCGGTCACAGGGTCAGTGCAGCATATGTGCTTTTCCCCTTGTTTCTAGAGTGCCTGGCTCGCTTAGAAAGTGCATCACTAAAGTGCGTCTGTCGGATTCCTCCAGGAATCCCCGCAACTGAAGAACGAGCTTGCTATCTACGCGCTTCAGCTTGCCACATCTACATCAGTTACAGATACATCTGTTTCAGCTTGAAAAACCGAAAATTTCACGAAAGGACTATAGACCGTTGCAACTAAAGAAAATAAAACAAAGATTGTCACATAAAAAATAAAGAACCTTTTATATTTGACGTTTGGTAACGCAACTCATGCACACAGTTTATCGTATTCGCTATTCATTTAAGAGGGAAAAAAAGGTATTGAAATAAAAAAAAACGTCATTTAAAAACAATGACCCAGTAACACTGGGTCAGCTAACAGGTCGACTGACGTGTTTTTAACTTTAAAAAAATAGGAAAGATATCACCGAGACATTTAAACTTTAATATTTCACAATAGACACGCGAAATATTAAAGTCAAAATTTCTCGGTGCTATTTATTTTATTATTATTAAAAGTATGCTTAAATTTGACGACTATATGATGAAACCACCGCCGAAAGCTCCGTGATATCACGTTCAACGTAACCGCGTAATCCACTCCATCCTCTTCAATACTTTGAAGTCGAACGTTTTTAGCGAGCTTTACAGTAAGTAGGCTACCGAAACTGTAGGGTAGCTGGTGTATTTTATGCGATATATTGTGTTTTATGACCTTACAAACGGCGATGTCGTGTTCGCCCCCCAGTGTGCCTCGTATAGTCGAAGAAATGTTTTTTTTTGACGCCGGACATGGCAGCGCCAAACTAGTGGTAATATTACACTTTATACGTCACGTGTTTCCGTACACGACGTGCTGATTGGTTCACCGTGGTGAGAGTGCTTAACGTGTGCCATCGAAAAAAAAAAAAAAAAAACTCGCGTGACTCTTTTTTTTTGTCTCATTTTAACGAAATTAATTCCAAAAATAAATGCTAAAAAAACAAAAAACTAGTGACCCACATGTATGTAACTATTATTGGAAGTTAAATATAACTGCCTGTATATTGAATCGCATACGTTTTTGGCGTACGATATAATTTTGTAGATGAACGTAAAGGGACGGAGCTTATTCAACTGCATACAAAGCCTACAATAGATTAATAAAAAAAAACAGGGTTGTTTGGCACCAGTTATGTTTTGTTTCATTTTTTACTAGGAAAACGAAAACATACAGAATCAAAATAGTTCATTTAACTTATCTAGCGGATGGTAGTATTTCATTTACTTTACATAGCTTCTCCCCCCCCCCCCCCCAAATAATTTGTTTCTTTTGTCAATTTCGCTCACATGCAGGAGCCCGTCGCATTCGATATCCGTTTTGACATCATAAATCTTAGCTTCTCTCGTCGCCCTCAGTAGTTTTTTTTTTTCTTTTTTGTTATTTACAACGCAGTGTACGCGGCACTACCACTGTAAACAACAAAACTATTGCTTTTTATTTCTTTCTTTGAATTTCAAGGTTGTTATAAAAGCGCTTATAGTGTGAGAGAAATGGCTCCTTCGGGACACTAACCTAGAGCGATAAAAGAGTGTTCCA